ATATGTTGTCTGGAGAAGGCGGGGCTGCCTCTTCAACAAGGTTCAAGTCAAAACGACGGTCGGAGGGGCCAGACATTTTCAAAGGTGTTGAAGAGAGAAGAGGTCGGACAAATCAAGATCTTAGAAGTGCAAGAATGAAGCTTCTACTGGTGGAGATTCAAGTGTGCTTTGGAACTTAATGTCAGCCCTTATAAAAATCTGCACTCGACGGAGCTTCAGAAATCGAAGAGGCGCCTGCTCAGAAATCGAAGAGGCGTTTGCTTTCTCAAAAAGCTGGGCTGCTTAGAGATCACGAGGGTTGATCTCAGAAATCGAAGAGGCGTTTGCTTTCTCAAAAGTTGGGCTGCTCAAAGACCACGAAGGCTGATCTCAGAAATCGAAGAGGCGCTCGCTTTCTCAAAAGCTGGGCTCCCCAGAGACCACGAGGGCCGATCTCAGAAATCGAAGAAGCACCTACTTTTCCAGCCTTGTCAGCACCTGTCACACGCACACTCAGCTTTGCGGAAATTATGGGCATTCTGTCGAAGACTTCTGGGGAAGTAGAAAAACACATGAATCTTACTGTTCAATCACCCACTTCCCACACGCAACAATAGCTCATGGGTACCACAGAAAACTTTGCCAAAGTTCTCTGCCAAAGTTGAGCACGTGAAGCTTGCAGCTCCCACTACATCGCTCTGACCAAGAAGGGTAAAAGAATAGCAAAGAAACAACACTAACAAAGTTTAGACCCATAAATTTTGAAGGTCTAGCTACCATATTATTACCCACAAGGGTAAAGGAACAGTACCACTGCTGGATAATTGGAAAGTCCCTGTGTGTCAACCTTTGTGCTTCGTGGCAAGGTAGACTAGCAAACATGCCCAACCTTTACTCACATTCGAGACAACACTCCCAACAAGATTGCTTGCTCCAAAATCGAAGAGGCACCGCCCTCCGAATCTCGAGAGCCAGACTCCCAACATGATTACTTCCTCAAAAATCGAAGAGACACTGCTCTCCGAATCTCGAGAGCCAGACCCCCAGCATGATTGCTTTCTCAAAAATCGAAGTGGCATCGTTCTCCGAATCTAGAGAGCTAGATACCACAGACCACTTTTTCAAAGTGCTCTGACAGAGTTAAAACATGTGAAACTGGCAGCTCCCACTACCGTGCTATGACCAAGCAGGGTAAAGGAATAGCATTACTACTTGTTAGGGAGACTCCTATATATGTCGACCCCCATCCCCAACGGACAGGCAGACCTGCAAAAATGCTCAACCCTTCATCATATCTGAGAGGGCACTCCCAACGAAGCCTTTCGAAATATTCAGCTTTCTTTCCCCCCGATAATACCTCTGCAAACAAGCTATACTAGAGCAAGAATATCTCATATCATCAGGGTTAAAAGCAAGAGTATCCCATATCATGCTTTTTCCCTGTCTTTTCCTTTGGCCTTGTTTTTACCTGCAAGACAAGGAGAAAAGAGAGCAATCAGTCAGCACTTGGAATCAAGCTTCCAGCCAGGATCTGACTGCCTGGAACCCCTTACCTGATTACTTACCTGGCATTGCTCTCGAGTACTCATCTTCAACATCTTATGTTTCCAGGGAAGATTCCGCATTTGCTTGAGGAACAGATAGGGCAAGTGCGAAGGATACAAGGAAGCATGTGGAGACAAGCGTAACAGCACACGTGCCGATACATCCATTACTCTGTCAAAAGCAAAAGTATCCCATATCAGCAGGGTGGAACGTACTCTAGATTTGATGGACTTGTTTTGACCCTCAAATTCTTCAGTCGGCCTTATACTCTGGAGGAAACCAGAAAACCCTCCAGCTCAGTTCAAGAATAAGCCTGTGGAAAGTTACTTCTTCAAAAGCAAAAGTATCTCATATCATCTCTTCTCATTTTTCTTCTCTTTATCCTTCATGCTGCTGCAAGATGGGGAGAAGGTGAACAATCAGTCGGAGCTCTGATTGCTTACCTTGTCTGTCACCTCTTTCAGCAGACCCCCTAGCTCGGCGACTTGGGGGACTCCTACTACATGGTTTGTATCGCGCTTGACCAAGCCTGAAACTACAAGTAAGCTTCAAGTGAAATTGATACATTACCTTGTGCATCTCCACCAGTTAAAGATACCACCCCTGGATGGAGGAAGAGTACTTCCAGAGAAGATGCCACATCTACCTATGAGACAGATAAGGCAAGTCAAGACGACTCCACACTCCGATACTTAGAAGTTTCGTGATTACGAGATCATTCTCCCACAATATTTCCTAATGTCATTTGTACTAAATCATTCACTTGTACTCACTAAAGGAGAGCTTGAACCTATGTACTTGTGTAAACCCTTCACAATTAATGAGAACTCTTCTATTCCGTGGACGTAGCCAATATGGGTGAACCACGCACATCTTGTGTTTGCTTTCCTATCTCTATCCATTTATATATTTATCCACACTAATGACCGGAGCAATCTAGCGAAAATCACAAAAAGCGACCGTTTTCGCTACCTAGGATCTATCTTGCAAGAGAACGGAGAATTAGATGGAGATCTCAACCATAGAATACGAGCTGGATGGATGAAGTGTAAGAATGCATCCGGCGTGTTGTGTGACCGTCGTAGGCCACTGAAGCTCAAGGGAAAATTTTATAGGACGGCAATAAGGCCAACGATGTTGTATGGCACAGAATGTTGGGCGGTGAAGCATCAACACGTACACAAAATGGGTGTAGCGGAGATGAGGATGCTTCGTGGGATGTGTGGGCACACGAGAAAGGATAAGATTGGGAATGAGGATATCCGAGGTAAAGTAGGAGTAGCCGAAATTGTAGGAAAGATGAGAGAAAATCGGCTCCGGTGATTTGGACATGTGCAAAGAAGGCCGAATGACGCTCCGGTTCGAAGATGTGACTACGGGACAGAGGTTCAGGGCCGAAGGGGTAGAAGAAGACCTAGGAAAACTTTGGAAGAGACTCTAAGAAAAGACTTAGAGTACTTGGATTTAACGGAGGACATGACACAAAACCGAGCGCAATGGCGTTCTAGGATTCATATAGCCGACCCCACTTAGTGGGAAAAGGCTTTGTTGTTGTTGTTGTTGTTGTTGTTGTTGTTGTATTTATCAAGTGATATTGGTGTGTACTTACAAGCAGCACTTTCTAACTTTTAACAGATCACCGTGACAAAAGATCACTCAGATGCAATCTTGAAGGGTGGGCCACAAGATTATGATAGAGTTTTCAGTTGTGAAGATAAGCAACAGGCATCCACAAGCTCAAGCTGTTTGAACTTGCATTCAAATAATCTAGGTTTTCGTGTTTCGGTACGGTGATGTCATTAGTTGGCTTGTATATGGTGACATTGTCTTTAGAATTTGTGCTTGACTTTTACAAGTTTTCTTTCTTATAGGTCTTTCAGCAAAACCCAGGGACACTTCTGGTGAAAGGCTCACTACAGCAGAGAGATTGTCAACTTTCAGGTTTTCGCCTACCTATTTCTTAAATTTTGTTTATAAATTTTATTAATATAAACATTTGTACTACACTCTGGTGATGCTTTTACATGTTTTTTTACTAGCTTTGAGCTGTCACCAACATTAGTGCAATCTATCTTTCCTTGTGCGTGTGAATGATTTGGATCGCCAAAATGATTGACCTACAGATGTCTCAACTGCCTTGTTGCCTTGCATTCATACTGTTATGAATTATCGCCATAACTTTTTCATATGTTACTTGTTCTCATCCACTTTAGTTTCCGTTATAATCGGTTGGATGTCGCTAAATTTTTAAAGTTGTATTTTTTCAACTTGGAGGCAGCTCAAAACAAATATGCTAAACACTCTCATTAAGAATGATAGTGATGATCACAGCATTATGTTTTTTTTTTCACCATTTGGCCAGCAAAACAACATTCGTATCTTTCGTTTACTTTCCCAAAGAAAGAATAGTTCATTACATCCAACATAGTTAACTTGCAGGACCTCTCTCCAAATGTTTTGGATGTAAAATGTATAAGATATGGTTCTATTTTAATTGCAGGAGCATTCTCACCAATATTCCAACGACTTGAGGAAGACCTGAAACAGAAATTTTGTAGAAGGAAGGAAGACCTGAAACAGAAATTTTGTAGAAGGAAGTAGACCACGGTAGAGCTTTCCTTGTCTAATTCCAGCAACATAGCAGCATCGGATATACAGGCATATCTGAAGTGGTTTGTTCTTAACTAGAAGATATTGAGCAGAGAATATTTTTGTTTTTGCATGCCCTGCTTTTTCCCTTGTAATCTACGGTCCATTTTTCACATCCCCTTGTAGTTTTCCCATTGTTTTGTATGCCCCCAAACGCGTAAAACATACCTGCAATGGTGTGTATATCGCACTCGTAATTGATTGTACTGACTTGAACACATCTTGTGCCGCTCTTCACTTTGTGTTGTATTGTATGCCATACTCGTAACATGAATAAATTAATGTGGCAGACATTACTTTCTTTCTTTTAGAAAAGTGATGAAGTTTTCTTCTTGGCAACCAAGTGTTTCTCAAGATGCCAATGAAAGGGGAAGCTGCATCATTACCCATCAATGTCGTCTCTTTGGTAGGTCAAATCTGATATATATTGTAGTCATGTTGAGAGTGAATCCCGGGAAAAAGAAGGACCCGCATTTTTGTGTTTTATTTTTATCATCGTGGAAGAGGGGATTCGGAGCTTCTTATAATTTGGAAGGAGGATTTACTACTAGATCAAAAGTTGGATGGTCGGAAATAACGAAAAGCTAGTGGGTGGGAAGTTTTTCTCACATTTATTTACCTCGGTTAATTATGATTCATGTAGACGAAGAAATTTGGCCTTGATTCATGTCATCAATTTTTCAAATGAATGATTATCTGAAAGCGTTTTTAGCCATTCAAAATACAGGCCTGGGCTAGTCGTGAACTCGAAATTCTTATTTTGAAGATCTTTATGCTGTCTTTGGACTCCTTGGCATGCTCAAGCTTACATGTTGCAGCTGATTAGATTCATTAGAATATTTAGCTTTACTGCAGAGACATATCAACTTTTATTCACAGAAAAGGTTTCTTCTCCAGCAAGAATGTGCGATCACTACATCTACTTTACACCCTTCATATTTTACATTACAAACACATAAATAAACCTGCAGATAATCACACTAACAGCAGAACGACGCGTGATACGTTTGGAACTCCGCCACCTTGATATTCCCGCTATCCCTTAAGAATAACAATCCAAACTCTATGGATGTAGAAAATAGTAACAAAGTAAAAAGGATTGAGTTACTGTGGGATGGAAGATTAATCAACCAGAAAACAAGAACAAGACTGCACAGACATGGAAACTTCATGCTTTCCCTTCAACTCTTGCATATGTAACCGCAACGCAAGCGTCCACGAAATCCTCGTCTATAAAATCTGTAGAAAGGATCTGCAACCTATCCGCAATACCTCTAGAGAAGCACTGAGTTATAAACAGCCTCGCGTATCCATGAATCCGTCCCGTCACAGGCTTGACACACAAAACCGGGTTATCAGCCTTGGGCGTGACCGTGTTCTCCACCCTGTAAAAGAACTTCCTTGATGAAACCGGCGGCTGATTACTCAAATGTTTCAGGTTGCTCTCGAACTTCGTGGATGGCAAGTCCGTGTCGATCCAGTTGTCCTTCAAATGCCCTGCATTCCACAGAGGACTCCCTGCCTTCGGCTGAGGTGACTTCCTCGGCTTCCACACGCATATCACTCTCTTCGGCAGCAGTTCCGAAATAGTCTTGTCGAAAACATGATCATCTTGGGGGATTAAAAACTCGCCGAGCTGATCAACCAAGTACTTATCAAATTCAGGAGGATCTTCGTGGCCGAATTCAGTTCGGATTTCGAGTATTATGATCTCATACTGCGTTTCGGACAAAAACTTCTTGACGTCGCTGATCACAGCATCAACGTTGTAAGTGAGGAGGACTCCGTGGCAGACTTTTCGGTCCTTCTGGATTCGAATATCGAGAACTCTGGCGCCCTTCTCGAGCTGCTGGTAGATGGACAGATTTTGACACTGAGCAAAAGGCCTAGTGATGAACGGAAATCCAATCTTGTTGGTTGCAGAGTCATGAGTTCCAGGCCATACAATCTTATTTATGTGAAGTTTCTCAGGGTTGATCCCAGCCATCCAGCTTTTTCTGTCCGAAGGCTTGTAGGCACATGATGGAAACTCTTCACCACAGCTCTGGTGAAGATCACACAGTGTGTGTTTTTCCACCGCGATCGCCTTCCGACGTTCTACCTGCTTCGAGACATGGGAACCCATCTCCAATATGAAAATTGAAGAAGAAAATTTCTTCTACCCTTTGGTTGTAAATGGAGGAAGTTGTGCAGAAAAGACTTTATTGTTGCAGGACCTATTGATGTGTATAAAAACTGATTATTGTTTATATTAAATGATTTTCATCTTTTATTCTTTTTTTTTCTTTCAGTACAGCTGTTTATTTTTTGTTCTTTAATTTTTTTTTTAATTTATTCAATTCGAAAATATAAAAATAAACAGTGAGAAAAAGGTTTTTGGAAATTATTTTCTTTGTTTTCGTGCATAAATAATAATAAAAAATATATCTTCAAGGTTTGATTAAGAAGAGGGCGAAATGTAATTATCTTTATCTTGGTGGGTCCCTGGTTGGATTGAATTATTGGTGGAGAGTCATGATCGATGTGTCTGTTTTAATTGGTTTGTACAATTGTCTGGTTGTCCTAAGCTGTATGAGCTTTTCGCTGTTAGGTTTGATATCTTTTGTTTATCTGTTGACAAGAACCGTAGTACCTAAAACATTTCTAGAACGTTTTTGCTCATCATTCTTAATCACGGTGTAACATTACTATACCACTCGATTATGCGACCTATATATATAAAAGTTACTATAACTTCATACTTTAGTTCATGAGATTGTTGACCGTCAATTATTTTGATCATTAAAAAATTTCGTTAAATTGAAGAAACCACCAGTTCAAGGAGAGAGGTTGATTTGACAACTAACCCCTCAACTTAACAGAAATTTTTCATCAAATGACCAAAATAATTGACGATGAACAATTTCATAATCACTTCTATCGATTTTAAATATTAGAGACCAAACTGAGAATTTATGCCAATCTCAGATATCATTTTAGCTAAAAAAAAGCCTTATACCGAGTCGAATAGTAACATTAGGACATCTTTGTAAGTTTAAGCACTGTCTGGATTAACCATAAACTATGGCCTAGAAGGATAGCCACCTGATAAAGTCAGAGCACCAAATTCCAAATAATTGAAGGAAATTGCAACAATTGCGGATTTAACACCACCGAAATTGACAAAGATAATCACTACATCTGTTGAATGTGAACTCTAAACACTGATTTGAAGGTAAAAACAATGTTTACTTGTCATCTAATCAGTAATCATCACTAAAGCATCATCCGATCGGACGGTTTTCACTGCATCTGGAAAACGTTGTAGTCAGAGAAAAGACATGAATGAACTGGAAGGTCATCTGAACAATTCAATTTCAATGGTCCGCAACCACATTCCTAAATTAGACAAGCAAGAAATTGACAAGAAGCTAAAACCATGAAGTTTCATGGGGCCTGCCGTGTGAAAATAGTTCCCGTTGGATCCGAACTCTATAGAGTAAGTTCGTATTCAGGATACGGATCACTTGCAGTCTCGATCGAAATAGAAACGGTACAGAAGCAATGAGCAAATGTTTAAAGAAATTATGAGACTTTCTTGAGAGGTTTAGCATAACATGAGCTGGCACAGTTTTAGCAGCATTAATCCAACCTAATAGTTTCCACCCATGTTCACTTCTTGTGATCGGAATGAGAAATAAGCATACTATGCAAGTTCAAGTGTGGCAGTCCCTTATGAATAAAGAGAAGTGAATGATGCAAAAACTAAACATAATACCTTCCATGCGATCAGAAATTTAGATTTTATTGAACAATTCTCGCACGTATATCATTTTTTGAGATTCAAATCTAAAGAATCTGAAAACGGTAGCTTACAAAAATGCTATGAACTACAAAAATTGAATGGATATGTTATATCACCAGTTCTCCCTATTAAACCCCGCAAAGTAACAAATCATCAAACTTTTACCTCAAGGAATTAGGTACTGAAACATCTTCTTCCATCTGGCCAGCTAACTGTTCCAAAACTGAGTATATTTCTTCTTTCAGAGGATGCAACCGATCCAATACAGTGAAAGCATTCACTCTATTTTCAACTTCTATCCAACTAAGGGCTCGCTCTTTCCTCACTTGTCTCTCATCCATAAGCTGTCTCACCTTCTCTACCAACTCCCATTTCCCATGTTCGGCATATATACTTGAAAGTAATACATAGGCACCAGAAGATTGAGGCTCCATCTCAATAAGGTGTTCAGCCACTTTTCTTCCCATCTCTGTGTTTCCATGAATTCTACTAACACCAAGTAATGCATTCCAAACTTGATCCCCACCTTTACCTGGCATATTCTTGAGCTGGTTGATTAACTCGTCAAAACGTCCAGCTCGACCCAAGAGATCAACTAGGCATGCATAATGTTCTACATCAGGAACAATGCCATGATCACTAGTCATGGACTCGAAAAAAGTAAGCCCTTCCTGCACTAGACCAGAATGACTACATGCATTGAGAATGACCACAAAGGTGGTCCTATCCGGCTTCATTCCTGATCTGACCATGTCCTCAAACGTCTGCATTGCCTCTATACCTTTACCATGCTGTGCTAAGGCAGATATCAACGTGTTCCATAATACAGTATCTTGCTTATCACCCATGAGCTCGAAAACTCGCCTTCCTGCCCCTAAATCCCCACATTTTGAATACATGTCGATAAGAGAGCTCACAACAATTGTGTTGGGTCTAAAATTATTTCGTACTAAAGACGCATGTACTTGTTTACCATGCTTAAGTGAAGCTATACTAGCACAAGCACAAAGGCAACTACTAAACGTAAACTGATCAGGTCTAACTTGATAGAACATCATCTCTGTAAAAAATGCAAGGGCTTCATGCCCCAAACCATTTCTAGCATAGCCGGAAATCACAGCTGTCCACGATACAGGGTTCTTCTCGGGCATCCGATTGAACAATTCACTAGCTGATTCCATATCACCAAATTTTGCATACCCCGAAACCAGTGTCGTCCAAACAAGAACATCCTTCACATGCATGCTATTGAATACTTTCCTCGCGTCTCCCATCTCCCCGCATTTGGCATAAGCATCAACAACCGAACTAGAAAGCACAACATTTGACAAAAACCCAGCAACCAAAACCTGCGCATGAACTTGCCTAGTAAGCCCCAATTCCTTCAACTTCACACAAGCAGTCAAAACACCCGCAAAACTAAACTCATTGAAACCAATTGACAACCTTCTCAACTCTCTATAAAACCTCAAAGCCTCATCACAAACTCCACTCTGGGCATAACCAATGACCATGGTGTTCCACGACACGACGTCCTTCTCCGGCATTTTATCAAACAAACTCCTGGCCTCACTCAACTTCCTCATCTTAGCATACCCAGAAAGCATATTGTTCCAAGAGTACAAATTCCTCACAGCCATTTTATCAAACACCCTGCGGGCTTCTACATCATCGGCACACTTAAAGTACATATTTATCAAATGGTTGGCTAAAAACGTAGAGGGGTGCTTGAATCCAGTGAGCTTCATATGGATGTGAACCCATTTGCCTTCTCGGAGGGACCTGGTGGCGCCGCACTGTTCCAAGAGGAAAGCGAGAGTCTTGGCGGGTAAGCGGATACCCTTTTGGACTAGAAGGTCGAGAGTGGAGAGGGCTTGCGAGAGATTGCCCTGAGAGCAGAGCTTGAGGAGAGACTGGACGACGCAGGGAGGCTTGGTGGTGGCGAGGCGTTTAGGCTTGGTCAGAGGAGGGAGAGAGGGGGAGGAGAAAGAGGGCATTGCAGAGTGAAACCATGAGAGGTTTGGATTGAAGTCTTCATCTATGGTGGGTTTGTGGAGGCAGTTGTTGGATCGGTGGGTCTTGAGGGTTCAGCTCCGGCGAGCATTGCCGATAGTGGATAGTGGTGATGATTGAATCGACAGTGACAACTGACAATGGGCCTCTGGACATTGATCCGACCATTGTTTTTTGATCCGTCCCGTATTAACTCGGTTCGGCCTTACCCGGTGACCCAATTGCTCATTTATTTATTTATTTATTATTATTATTTATTTATTATTATAATGAAAAAAGTCAACCAGACATGAATTAAGCCAGCTGGATAACACAACCATTTCATCCGAGTAAGTTAGAGTAGTTTTAAGATAATGATTGTTAAAAGACTAAGGATAGAAATCAAATATACGGGAATTACATTTGCAAATGTAGGCCTTAAACATCTCTAATGGGCATTTTAAATAAGCTCCTAGCCAAAAGACAGTAAGAATTCAGAAAATTTCATGTACGTTCACACTCCCTATCTTGCTTCTAGGATAACAAAATCTATATGAGCTCATAAATCTGTAAAATGTAAAAAGAGTTTTTAGAATTGATTACTATTGTTTTAATAATATTTTAAATAAAAGCTTAAAAAAACATGTATATGCACCATGATGCAGATTCGATCTCCGAGTCTTCTAACAACTGACAATTTAACTCAATAACACTATTATATGTAAAACACAAAACATATTAGAACATACATTTGACTACTTGTATTTAGTCCAATTTGTACAACTTAACAAATGACTTCCAACTCTCTGTTGTTAGAAGTTCACGCTATGTACTGATTTTGACTTTCATATGAAAAATGCAACATATATGGGTCCTGAATGACGACTCAAAACTTACAACCTACCATGCCATGGACTCATTATATAAACTTACAACCTAACATGTACATGCTTCATATGAGCATGAATGTTAGAATTAGATGCTAATCTTATGGCAAACTGATAGTTATACCATAAATGTCGAATAAACTAAATAATCTCTCTGAGAGTTTTAGAATCCCGTAGGTATAAAACATACTTTAGCTCAAAAAATGCAAGTTACTTTCAACAATCCGTATTCATATACTTGACTTGTGAAATGAACACCCTTATATGATCTCATGACCAAGGAAGTAATGGATTGGTTTAAGGTCTTGAGGGGGACATAATTTACCCAAATAACGGATAACCTCTTGGCAGTATTCATCATGGTAGTCGGAGAACTAGATCGATCAGCACGTCGTTGCTAACTACTAAGGCAGTGGATTTAGATCTTGATATATTTAGATTTCAATTTTCTCCAGTATCTCCACACACACACACACACACACACACACACACACACACACACACACACACATATAGCATACAGTTTAGTAAATTTCCTAA